AGATGGTGACAAGGTACACAGCAGCAAAGTGAATCCATAATCTGTCGAAAACGTCTGCATTAGTAAGTTTAATTTTTGCACCTCATGTTGCTATAATATATGCATACGTAGGTTAGGCCATTTGGTCAGAGTAGTTTTTCTGCCCCTTAACTCGAGTTAAAATCCCCCTCACCGTAAACTAAAGTAATTCAAATCTCCGCTCACCGTAAATTAAAGTAGTTTAAAATACGCAAGGAAGACTAACTGTAAATATTTCTTACTAATTTTAGAATTTAAGAGATTAATTGTAGATTAATTAGAATCAAAATAATGATAAAATCAGAGATTTAAATCTAATCACTCACTTGCTTGAGCCATTGTTCACATTCGAAATCGTAAACACGTCGAGAGAGTTATTCGACAGATCGGCGAAGTCAACATACTCGAGCTGGTTGCCGGAGCAGTTGACGGGAAGCAGGACGAATATCCCGATAACTCCGGCGAACAGGAACACTCTGAGACTAAAATTGATAAGCCGCATGAAAACGACGGCGTCGAGGCCGGAGGACGACAGCAGGTCGTCCTCCGTGAGCTGCCAGGCCCTCTTGACCCAGTACGGCGACGGAATCAGCCGCTCGAGGTTGAAACGACTCGACTTGTCGGACTCCCCCTCGGCGAGCAGCCGCGGTATGTACACCTCATAGTTGCTCGGCTGCTTCCGGAGGATCGAGTAGAGCGTGAAGAAGAGGACGCAGAGGCCGGAGTTGATGGCGAGTGACGTCAGCAGGGCGGAGACAAGCATTTCTCGATTTCTGCGAGACCCTAGAAATTCGGGAGGTTTGGAGAACCGATGAAGCTTTCGATCCGACTGTTTGGATGCTTGGGACTTTTGTGGTGCCGAAAATACCCCTGCGTTTTGCTTACTTATTTCTCACGGGAGCGAGGAAGCTTCCGTGAGGTGATGGATGGGGAGTTTACCGTTACTGTGATAAAAGCGGTGGTGCTTTGTACTTGGATTTCGAGGCAATTTTGGGGATTTCGAGGCGATTTTGGGGATTTCGGTACGGAGGAGGAACGGAAGATGACCGTGATCTGCTCCTCCAACTACCAGTCAAATTCCCGCCATCGCCAGATTTTTTTGGAGACTCTTGGCTCCACGGTCACGTGATATGTCACGTGATTTAGTGGGTAATTTTGGCAGGGCATTTATAATTTGATTAAGGGTAACCATTGGAATTGAACCTCATCTGAATCCAAATTACAGAGATTCTATGAATCCTCACATCTTAGTCATTCATCGTGTATCGTACGGTCATAAATAATTTAACATTTTTATTTAAAATAAAACATAAATAGTACATGATGAAAAATAACCACACGATATACGATAAACAGTTAGAATGTGGGAATTCTTAAAATTCCACATAGTAGATCCAGAGAGGATCCTTTTTCGTAACAATTTGCAAATGTCTGTCACATCAAATCTTTTGAAAGATGAAGAATGTGGGTGACATAAAAATGTGGGGAATGGCTTTAATGTTACATAGAATTTAATTGTTAAATGTTTTAATTTCAATTTTAGTCATTCAATTTTTTATCATTTAGTATTATGTCGATTAAAGAAAAATTACAAAATGTGAGAGTAGTCATACCTTGAAACTTATATGTTTGTAATGTAAATGATACCACATAAGCGGAAACTTGAACTTCGAGCGTCGTCCCACATTAGAAAATAAAAAAAATATTACTAGATTAAATGCGAGTTGGATAAAATTTGGACCATTATAAATTAATATACATCAAAACTATGCTTTGTCATTCAAGATATTTTCTTTCTATTGTTCACTGGAGGAGGAGACGGTTTTTTTATTTATTTTTTATTTTTTGGAAAGCTAGCTATATTAACCAGGGTAAAGATGTCAAAAGTACAACGCAAGCCCACAACGAGGCAAACAACCAAAAAAACAAGTCAGGAGTGCAAGGGGAAGAAAACACGACACTAAAGGGAAGCAACTAGCGTCATCCCTTGCACACCCAAACAAAATTAATGTGGGCAAGGTAGACCATCATTGTGAATGACATGAACAAGTGAAGATGGAGGTTTATCGACCCAAGTACAGTCACACATCTCCACAGAACTTCACGACGCCAAATGGTCCGCTGCCATATTGGCTGATCTTAGATTCTAATACCAATGACAATCATGGAAGGAAGCTCCAACTTTCTTGCACTTTGATAAGATTGGAAATGCCTTCCATCTGCCATTTGTTAACCTACCTGATAAACATGAAATGGATTGTAATGAATCAGATTCAACAACCACACGAGTAATGCCCAACGATTGACCGAGCTCACAACCCCGTATAATGGGCAAAGCCTCAGCAACCATAACAGTAGAAACCTGGATAGACAACTCATGAGTAGTAATGAAAGCACCTACAGAGTGCCTCACCACCAATCCAATAAAACCATCTTTCGAGTCAACAACCCAAGACGCTCATCCATCCCATTTAGCATAAAAATAAAAAAAAATAAAAAAAGAACAGTGGGGAAAATAACAGGCTTTCAAAACCTGTGCTATCACATCCCTGCCTCGACTTCGCTATAGTACGATATTGTCCGCTTTGGGCCCCAACCACGCCCTAACGGTTTTGTTTCTAGGAACTCACATGAGAACTTCTTAGTGGGTCACCCATCCTGGGATTGATCTCGTTCGAACTCACTTAACTTCTGAGTTTCGATGAACTCAAAAGTTAAGCAAGTTCGTGTGAGAGCAATCCCAGGATGGGACCCACTGGGAAGTTCTCGTGTGAGTTCCCATAAACAAAACCGTGAGGGCATGGTCGGGGCCCAAAGTGGACAATATCGTGCTACGGCGGAGTCGAGCCTGGGATGTGGTGGAGTCCGAGTTGGGATGTGACATGTGCCCATAGTGAATCTGACTCATGGATAAGCCTCCAACACTGGTTTGCCAGAAGTGCATCATTAAAATGCATGAAGTTCCTAAACCCAATCCCCTCATTTTCCTTAGGAAGTCTGAGAGTAACCTGAGAGACCCAATGAATGTGTTTCCTCCCCGCATCAGGCCCCCACCAAAAATTAGGAATTACAGAGTCCAGTTCCTTGCAAATGGTAGCCGAGAATTTAAACAGGTTCATCAAATAAGTCGGAATAGCTTGAACCACTACCTTGATCAGAACCTCTTGACCCGCCTGTGAAAGGGTTGCTTATTTCCATCGCTGAAGTTTCCCCATAATCCGCTCTTTAACATACTTTAATCTTTTTCGCTTAGATCGTCCCCACATAGCCGGCACACTAAGATAAGTCCCGAGATCATCAACAATTGGCATACCTAGAATGTTGCCAAGATCTTTTGACAAGGTCGTTGAGACATTTGCACAAAAAAAGACGGTAGATTTATGGAAATTAAGCTACTGTCTGGAGGCCATGCAGTAGTCTTGTATGAGCTTCACCAAATTATTACAATTCTCCACATTAGCTTTTAAAAAGAACAGTGTATCATCAGCAAAGAAAACAACCTATCCTCACAGGTGCGCAAGATTAATGAGGAAAACACCTCACTGACAATCAAGAAAAGATATAGGGAAAGTGGATCACCTTGACGAAGGCCTCGTGAGGGAGTGAACTTCTGACCGGCTAACCATTAACCAGAATAGCAAAATCAACCAAAGAAAAACAACAGAATATCAAATGCCTCCATTGTTGATCAAATCTCATTCACTCCATGACTGCCATTAATAAAACGCATGCGACCTTGTCATAAGCCTTATGCATATCTCATTTAATACCAAGCTCAAATTTAGCTTTTGTGCGTCTTGTCCGAATGAAATGGAAGAGCTCATGGGCAATGCCAATATTGTCTTATATTTGCTTGCCAGAAATAAAAGCATTATGTGAAGGGGAAATCAACTCCGGCAACAAGGAACAAAGGCGGTTAACCAACACTTTGGACAAGATTTTGTACGAGTAGTTACAGAGGCTAATGGGAAGAAACTAGGAAATAGACTCCGGATTAGGAACTTTCGGAATGAGTACAACATGTGTGGAATTGATGTGGTTTGGAAAAACAGATCCCTACATAAGCTTCCGAACGAACCCATTGACTTCACCCATAAGATTATCCCAAAAAAACTGGTAAAAAATTCCTTGAAATCCATCAAGCCCGGGGCCTTTAATCTCCCCATTTGAAAAGCCGCCTCCTTGATCTCCTCTATAGAAACCGATGCAAGAAGGGAAGCATTCATCAAGGAAGAGACGAATTTTGGTGAAAGAAAAGGAGATCAGAACCTTTCATTCAACTTTTATTTTGGATCTACACTTCATCTATATTAATTTTCTTTTCTTTGGTCAATATTTCTTTTTTTGGTCGGTTCAAATCAGTGAAGACCTTAAAAAATATTATAGCCCAGCCTAAAATCAACCTGGGCCGCAATCTCAAACGACAATCGTTTGGGGCTTTTACCTAGCAATTAGTCCAAAAGTAGGGAGAGACTCCTCTGGCTCTTTGGAGCCGTTATAACGTTTCAGTCTAATGATACATTGTCATAAATAAAACATTAAAAAAATAAATTAGATTACACCGTACCATTCGTCCGAGACGCTACCATATTCCTGTTGCATTTTAATTTTTCTAAACTTTTTTCCGCATTATTTCTATATTTTATTTATTTTAAGCACTATTTTTTTGTTATTTAACTTTTACCCCTGCATTTATTTATATTTGATATTTTATTTCTTTCTTGAGAAAAAAGAAAAGGGCAAATTTTTTGGTCGGCAGGAGGCTTTATTCCATACGGCTGTCCTCTAGTTAAATTACACACAGCATACCACTGAAAAAAAAAATAGAAATTAAAAAGAGGGAGAGAGAGAGAGTCATTTAATAGTTCTAATGGGCCTTCTCTTTAATTGTAAGTTGTAAGTGAAGTATTAAGTATGATTCCCGTCAAAAACGAGTTTGAATTACATTATTTCTTAATTGAGGTAATATCATTTGTTAAAAAATAAAAAAATAAAAAAAAAATAAAAGAAGAAGAAGAGAGAGAGAGACCTTTACTTAAGAGTCGGGACTTCACAAATTGGGCTGCTCGCCAAACCGTCATCCTCTCCGCATCGCCTTCGCTATTTCTTCAAGCTCGTCAAAATCCCTAGGTCAACCGGGTAATCTCTCTTTCCTGCGATCTCATTTACTTGAAATTCTCTGAATTTAGGTTTAATTTTTTGTATTTTTCAAATTAGGGATACGTTCTACTTTTAGGGCTTTCCTCAATTTCAAATATTTGATGTTCATATCTACTTTCTGCTAGAATTTTAGGGGTTTTCTCGTCTCCGACTTGCGTTGCGTTTATATCTGTGGGTAGTATGTTTTTACTCTATTTTCATCCGATTTTGCTCGAATGTTGATGTGTTGCTGAATTTGTACTTTCTTTAATCATCACTCTCCCTGATTTTGTTCCATTTTTACTGTTATGTTTGTTTGTTGGCGTTCGAGTTCGATTTTTTTCTTTTCGGTTTGAATTTTGTTTATTAATGGGTGTCTGAGTACTTGAAGCAAAGTTGAACCTTGAAATCTGCAGGATGCCATTATTGTTAGCTCACGAAGTTATATTGTAGATTACCAAATGTTATTAAAACCCCAGTTTGTGATGTTGACAAGGCGATATACTAAGTATGCTTTTGTGGTGCTAGATATCGATTATCTTTGGTGCGTCATAGTGAAAGATATAAATAAGCAGATGAACAAGAAACTATAGACTAGCCATGTAGATCTTACTTGATTAAAGATTTCATGGGTTCTCGAACTGGGTCAGCTAGATGAATTTGTGGTGCTGTAGAATTTGAATTTAAGTAACATCTTTCTTTGCGTGTTATTATTAAAAGGAAATTCACCCAGCGCATCAGAGTTCATAAGAGATTTGCTACTTCTTGGGATCCTAACTGATCCCGCTTTAATTTTGATATTTATTGCCTGATGTAATTTGCTATATGATTTTAATATTTTGGTCTGTTCCATTTCTGCAGGACTTGGATTGTTCAAAGCATTGAGAATGTCTTCATCATATCTCCCAGCAACTACTGATTCGATTGCTCAGGCTTTAGAGGCCAAAGCTCCATCTGAATCCATCTCTATTCTTTATCGCGTTCTTGAAAACCCATCAGCATCTCCTGAAGCTATACGGATAAAGGAGCAGGCCATCACAAATCTTTCGGATCTTCTAAGACAAGAAAATCGGGCGGATGATCTTCGTAACCTTCTCACTCAGTTGAGGCCTTTTTTTAACTTGATTCCCAAGGCGAAAACTGCAAAAATCGTCCGCATTATTATTGATGCACTTGCTAAGATACCAGACACGTCAGAACTTCAGATTTCCCTTTGCAAAGAAATGGTGCAGTGGACCCGTGCTGAGAAGCGAACTTTCCTTAGACAGCGAGTGGAGGCCAGGCTTGCATCTCTTTTGATGGAAAGCAAAGAGTTCTCGGAAGCACTAACTCTCCTATCAGGCTTGATCAAGGAAGTGAGAAGGCTAGATGACAAGCTTCTCCTTGTGGACATAGATTTGTTGGAGAGTAAGCTCCACTTTTCTTTGAGAAATCTCCCTAAAGCCAAGGCTTCACTCACAGCTGCAAGAACAGCCGCCAATTCTATATATGTGCCTCCAGCTCAGCAAGGAACTATTGATTTGCAGAGCGGGATCCTTCATGCAGAAGAGAAGGACTACAAGACTGCATACAGTTATTTCTTTGAAGCATTTGAAGCCTTCAATGCTCTTGAAGATCCTCGGGCTGTATTTAGCCTCAAGTATATGTTGCTGTGCAAAATTATGGTGAGCCAGGCTGATGATGTGGCAGGTATAATATCATCAAAAGCGGGCCTGCAGTACTTGGGACCTGAGCTGGATGCTATGAAAGCGGTTGCTGATGCTCACTCGAAGCGTTCTTTGAAGCTTTTTGAGACTGCTCTTCGTGATTTCAAGGCACAGCTAGAGGAAGACCCTATTGTCCACAGGCACCTCTCCTCCCTGTACGACACTCTCTTGGAACAGAATCTCTGCAGGTTGATCGAGCCTTTCTCAAGGGTGGAGATTGCTCACATTGCAGAACTGATTGAACTGCCAATCGACCATGTGGAGAAGAAACTGTCTCAGATGATTTTGGACAAGAAGTTTGCAGGGACTTTGGACCAGGGCGCTGGATGCCTCATCATCTTTGACGATCCAAAGACAGACGCAATATACCCTGCAACGTTGGAGACCATATCCAACATCGGCAAGGTCGTGGACAGCCTCTACGTGAGGTCTGCGAAGATAATGGCGTGAGGTTGTACGGTCAAGGAGGCTGTTTCCTGCCGTCGCTTTATTTCTTTCGGTTATACTTTTAAGTCAATTCTGTGATATCCCAGCAGTAGTCCGTTACTTTCGTTGTTTTAGACTAAATTGTACTTGTGAGTTTGGAAGTTTCTACCCCTTGGAGAATTTCATTCAACACAAAAGGCGAAGAGGATCTCTCTGGACCTTAGTGTCTGGAGTCTTCTCATCAAACAATTTGGACCGCACAAATTAAATTCAATGGTTTCTATTAATTTATTTTCTTGGCTCATCACACATAACCTGCGGTCTTGATTTGACTTACACACTAGTCAACGGTCCAAATTGCTTAATAAGGAGGCTCCGGACGCTTAGGTTCGGAGCGGACCCTCTTCCCACAAAAGGAACTTGTATTGAGACTACTTTTACTGAGGTTTACTGTGTTGTCAAAATGATCAAAACGCAGCGTCACAAGGGCAAAATGACATTGAAACTCCGGAATCTAACGGACGTCTTTTAACTGTCAACGAAGAGAGAGAGAGAGTGAGTGAGAAGTAGACGTCTGTTTATTTTTCACGGAGCCTTTCCAAGTCGAATCTGGATTTCCGTAAAGACCAAAATCGGAACATCGACGTTGAGGACAACCCCCGATCCTCCAAAGCCCAGATCGTTGCCTTCCCGATTCCCAAATTCCCAATTGAATTACCAAATTTCTGCGCCGCGCAGTAAAAGCAGTGACCGAGATGAGTGAGGTATTCGAAGGCTACGAGCGTCAGTACTGCGAGCTCTCCGCAAACCTCTCGCGAAAATCCAACTCCGCCGCCCTTCTTTCCGACTATGGTACTGTTCTGTTATTCCGTTTTCTGCCGATCCAGTGACATGGGTTTGTGAGATTAGCTCCTAATCTTCTTAATTATGTGTTTTATTAATCAATTAGTAATTTAGTAACATTAATTAAGGGATTTCTTTTGGGGGTTTATTGGGTAGTTTTTTGTTCAATTGTTTGTTGGGTTGCTTTGTGCAATTCCAGTCCTTTAAGCCACCGTGTGTTTTTGGGTAGTTCTGATCATTTTATGAAATGGGTTCGTTTTTTATCAATGTGAATTGCAGAGCAGAAGAAGCAGAAGTTTTCTGAGATTAAAATTGGACTGGATGATGCCGAAGCTTTGGTAATATGCTGCACAACATACAAATTTCACTTGTTTTTGCTTTTTCTGGAAAGCTACTGGGGCTTATATACGTTCCTTGTTTGTTTATGCGAACGAGTGATGTGATTTATTTTCTCAGATTCGGAAAATGGACCTCGAAGCCAGAAGCTTGCAGCCGAGCGTGAAGGCGGTGCTTCTTGCTAAGCTAAGGGAGTATAAATCTGATCTCAATAAGTTGAAAAGGGAAATCAAAAGAGTTGCATCGCCTGATGCCAGTCAGGCTGCTCGGGACGAACTGCTGGAGGCAGGAATGGCTGATGCACATGTGGTAAGTATGGACGCTGTTTGGATCATTCCACTTTCATTGGACATTGTACACATCCTTGTTTGAGAAGTTTTTACCAAAGCATATTTGATTCGATGAATTTTACACATTTATGCTTGACATGCTGTAATTGAAATCTAATTCCCAACTACCTAGGGTGCCCGTTCTTGCATACCTTTCGTCTTGATTTATGACAACGGCTTCTACTAGGCCGTTTTCTTTTATTCTCGGTGTACTATTTACGGATAGATGTAATGTTTATCTTCCATTGCTTTTTCTTTGGTAGAATACAATAAATTTTCTTGATGATTTATGGACAATGAAACAGGTTTCTTCTGATCAAAGAGAGAGAATGACAATGTCTGTTGAGAGATTGAATGAATCAAGTGATAGAATCACACAGAGTAGAAGAACGATATTGGAAACTGAAGAGCTTGGTGTCTCCATCCTCCAAGATTTGCATCAACAGCGGGAAACTCTCCTGCATTCCCATCAAAAAGTAAGTTTTAAATTTTTTAATCACGTTTCTGCTTAACTGAAGGTTCATTGTCACTTAGACTTCTGTTCGACTTTCCTGATGTCGAATTCGTGGAGTTTCTCGTAGATGTCATTCTCACATTTCAAAACCAGATTCATTCCTAAACTTTTTTAAAGACCTTACACATGAAGTGGAGTTCATGGTAGTGCACCAAAAACCCAAGATAATGTGGGTGTCTCACCCTTTATCATCCCAGGCCATAGTCCTCCTTTGAAATCCGACATACGATGTGAACAAGGCAGCTGCATTAGTGAATTTGTTAATCCGTGCGTGTTTTTTCTTATTCTTTTGCAGCTTAATGCAGTAGATGACGCCATTGACAAGAGTAAAAGAGTTTTAACTGCCATGTCGCGGAGGATGACGAAGCATAAATGGATCATCGGCTCAGTTATCGGAGCTCTTATCGTTGCAATCCTCTTTATTCTGTACTTTAAGCTTTCTCATTAACGGATACCTGATACGGATACCATCTCCGGTACTGGTAACTTTATTCAAAATGTTGTATCTGTATATGCTTTGTTGCCTGAATTATGAACCACATTCTTATCATATTCTCCCCGTATTCTACTTTGTCATTAGTCTTTTTTTATATTTACTTGAAAATGTTTCAATTAATATTTAATTAAAGTATAAATCACCCTTTTAATTAGTGAATATTTAATTAAAACGAAGAAAGAAAGAAAAACGTATAGATTAAGAAGCAAACGAGAGTATTGAAAAACTGTTTAAATCAAAATTAGTAGTTGACGAATTTCTTACTCAATTTAAACCGTTAACTCAAGCAGATTAATGAGCATACCTCTTCCTCATAGCACGTTAATAAACAAAGCATGCTCGCATCAACAACTCCATTGCGTCGGACTTTGTCGGACTGCATACGATGGCGAATAACAATATAACGGCTCGTTTGGTATGCCTGATGATTTTCTCGTCGGTAATGTTACTCCCGGACACCGTAGGCGGCGCGTGGAGTTGCCTTGGAGCCCAAGAACACCACTTTTCCCTAAAAAACTACTTCGGGGAAGCCTTCAAACAGCAACACGCTACGGGTTATATAGATATTTACTGTGAACCAACGGAACTCGATCCTTTTCCGTTTCCTACCCTTTCAAGTGAGGGGCATCAAAAGAAAAATATGTCATTTTTTCTATCAGCTAATTTTGATATGTGTGCGGGATGGTTCCAAGATGTTCCGCCGTATAATTGCGGTGCTGCCTTTCTCCCCACCGGCAGCCTCTCGACGCCCAGTCCCAGCCGGTGGAGTACCGGAAAATTCCCGGTACTCTGTCATGAGTATGATTGTGCCAAGAACAATAAATATTGCGAGGTCCACTTGCATGACGATCATGTACTTGTCAACTCGTCACCCCAAAAAAACATCTGGATTCGTTACGATCTTAATATCTAAATATCGAAGTTTGATTTGGCCAGGACCAAGCAATACTCCCAGTTCTGCACGCATGGCGATGGCGATAGAAAACACATCGAGTTGTTTTAAATTATGTTTAGAGGTTCTTAATCTGGGTTAGTTGAATTTTAATTAATAAAGGATTGTAATTAACGTTTAAGTATGTAGTTGCATACTTTCTTAGTCAACTGACATAACTTACAAACGCAAATGTCAAGAAATAATTTTTTTGTCATAATGTAAGCGTTTTTGTTGAATTGTTTTTAGTAAGATCTTGTATAATTTTACGATTACGCGTTGACGCGTTTTGTTGGTAAATAAGTTGAATAATATTTTTTAAATTTTCAATTAATCACGAACAAATAGGTGCCCAAACATACGTAAATCTTGTTATATCTCAGTGTTTGAAATTCAAAAATCATGTAATTCAGACTACGCAAATAAAATCTGCAAGTCTTCATTAAGAGTCTGAAGTTTTTATTGACTCATTTCGTTTGCACAAGTTAAGTGCTCATTCTCTCTTTCACAGGAATTAAGGTCTCGAATTTTCTGATCCAAAGAGATTCGAATTCCGCAAACATAGTCCCGTTTCAACCAAGGAACCAAGTCTCCTGGACCCACCAGCACAACACAGACAGAGAGCTCCAAAGACTGGACCGGAGAGAAGAAAAAATATCCCTCAGGCAGATTCTTTGAGATTCACAACCCATATTTTCCTTCCTTCCTTTCCTTGTCTCACCTTCTAAGCTCCACCACCTACCACCCACCGAACCGGACCAACCCAGAGAGAGAGGGAGAGGGATTTGACCCATACATACTTGCAATTTTGAACCAGATTTTGATTTCAATTTTATTATTTCACAGCCCAAACGAGCATCATCCATGGATTCTCTCTCATCGGTAAAAGTGCTTCCCTCCGTAGTCACCAACCCTCTCTGTCCACGGCGCCGCCGGATGCCTCCCCCTTCTTCTTCTTCGCACGGCAGCTTACACAATCGAAGTCTCTGCCGATTTTCCACCTCCTCCTCTGTATTCGGTGTGCCGTGCTCTCCCTATTCCAGAAGGAGGTTCGTGTGCCCGTCCGGCGGCGGCGGCACTGCGCAGGAGGACGAGGAGGATGGCGATGACGACGACGACGACGGAAGTGAGCAGGTGGAGAAAGCGCTTCACCTCGACGGTAATATCCCTTCCACGTCCGACGAGTTCGTGAAACGCGTGTCGTCTCGTGCTTACGACATGCGCCGCCACCTCCAGCAGACCTTCGATTCCAGCAGCTACGATGGTACGAATTAAGTTCATAGCTGCTCCTGCTTTTATTCAGCCGTTTGAGAAATGAGATTTTGGTGATTGTGAGTTTTTTGAGCGATTATTAAGTTAATTAACTATTAATCGTGCTTTATTTGTTTGTTAATTCGTGATTCATTAGCTTAAATTAGTGTTATATGATATAGAAACTTAACTTGATTCACACATGATCTATACTCTGTTTTTTCTTAATTTCCAAAAATTGAATACACATGCAATGCAAATGAAAGAGTTGCGAAAACTCGTGTATGACGATGCATGATTGGCTTTGGTATACTATCGTTGTGCATAATTGGCTTTGGTATACTATCGTTGTGCATAATTGGCTTTGGTATACTATCGTTGTGCATAATTGGCGTGGAGAGATTTTTTAATGTGCTCGGAACACGTGGTAGTATTGCCATATCCATATGTCATTAAACAAGTGGAAGGAATTTGTTTTTCATATGTCCCTCCGCTTGTATAATGACATATAACGTATGTGTCCATGTTCCAGGCACACTGAGTAGTGTACGATACTGTCACTGTAGCATCCCGCGTTATGGTGCTTTTTTCTCACCACCTTGAGTGCTGATGAGCATTACCATCACATTAGTTGTCTGTTGGATGAATGTGATTTAATCTCTGTGTACACAAATCTTGGTTCAGTATTGGAGGCCAACCCTTGGAGAGGACGTTCCAAGCCTGTGTATGTATTAACCCAAAGGGAAAACCAGTTGTGCACCATGAAAACCCGAAGAAATCGCAGGTCTCCTTCCTCTGCTCACTCTCTCTCCTGTGTGTGTCTGTTACCTTTCTCTTTGGTGGGCTTTAATTCTTGTTATTTGTGGCCTCAATGAGTCACTAGGTGTGGTGAAATATTGGTGGTTTATATGTGACAGTGAAGTTGAAACGGAGCTTGGGAAGCTGTTCTCAAAAAGAGGGAAGTGGAATCAAAAGAAGCAGCCGACGAACGAGACAAAGTTCCAGATGCTTGTGGAGGATATTAGAGATGGAGTGCTTGTAAGTATTTTTCTCTCTTCTTCTTGCCAATTGTGTAAATGCTTGCATTGTTGGTGTCGTGTGAATTTTTCATCTCGTAGGGATTAATAAATCTCTCTTATTGTATCTACGGTTGCATATTTTTTGAAATTTCAACGGCATTTGTAGGTTTTCGAGGATGAGAACGAAGCTGTAAGGTATTGTGACTTGTTGCAAGGAGGAGGTAAAGGTTGTGAAGGTGTTGCAGAAATAGAGGCCTCATCAGTAAGAAATAGAGACCCGTCTTTAAAATTGGCTTTTTAAGCATCGCGAAATTGTAATTGAACGATGATGGATGCACTTTTTGCTGAATTCTAACAACAATTGTTTCGTTGTGTTATAACTTTAGGTATTCGATCTGTGCCAGAAAATGCGAGCTTTAGCAGTTCTGTTCCGTCGCGGAATAAGCCCTCCTCTGCCTCAAAGCCTGGAGCTCAACCTTAGGGCTCGAAAGCGCTCGCTTGAAGACGAACAAGAACCATAAAGAGTACTCGATTCCTGCCTGGAACTGAATATTTGTCTAAGAAAGCATTCTTCTATGCAACTCATATACATACCCTGGATCTCTAAACTGTATATTATATATATTCATTGTAAGTTCTGGGGTTGTTCAACGCTCATTGTCTCGATTGCATTTCGCATACTGAATTATTGTATGCGTCGGTCGTATATAACTTTGAGTCTTCGATCTTGTAACATTAATTCCCTTCATCGGGTTTGATTTGAGGTTTGGCAGCTCCTGTGGAGTTCAGGCAAGAGGCTCGGTTTTAGGTTTAAGGAAGAGGATGATGGGGATGACATTATACCATATTCAAACGATGGTGTTCGCTTGCTCACCACGCAACAAAGTAATTTTGTGAAATCAGAAGACCGTTTTAGATTAAAACTTTTGGAGCTTTTCTAAGTTAAAATTTTGGTTTCGCCACTTACCCTAAAATTATAAGGGAAATTTTATTTGAACCCATGTAACTTCTTTTTACACCCAACTTAAATTTTAAATGTTAATTGTTCTTTTTACCCTCTTGTACAATTACCATCAAGTATAAGATGAAATTAATAATAAAATTAAAATGTCTCAATAAACCCACACATTATAATTAAACTGTATTATCACTTCTTGTTTATCCTACATTTGTTTCGACTAAAATGCTAATAACTCTTGTAGAGAAAGACAAGTTTTTTTTATCGATGGATCATGATTTTGAAGTTTTAATCCCTTGCCGACATGGATTTATGGATGAATGATAATTATTTGCCTCTTGAATTTATTGACCCCTTGTCGACATGTATATATAGAGAAGAATTGGAGTTGAGAGAGTTGCCACATCCTCTCTTTCAATGTCTACTTGCATTCACCAACTTGAAGGGCTATTACATCGTACCACCAAAAGTTAAACTTTAGTCGGTTCACATAATCATAAAGCCATGAAAAAAGCGTAGGTACTATAGCTATACTGGCCATTGGCCAACCCTGTATACATGGTTAGCCAATTTTGTTTTCATTATTTCTAAAATCTGTACCCAGATGTATCACTGAAGTAGGAGGAAACAAATTGGACATGGGACATCTCTCTCTCCTTCTCCTTTATGCTTCTTTCACGAACAATCATATGAGCATCTTTAGAAATACCCTCTGTTAATTTATCCTAGGTGACATTCTTTAAACAAAAGCGGTTCAAATATTCTAACATACTCCTCAACATATTCAAATTTTTCAGGAACACATTGGAGATCTGTTTCCCGTGGTGCACAGATACAAACTTCAATCAAATTTTCAATTTGGGATTTCGTTTTTTAAATGGGTGCAAAGATAAATTTACATTTTGAATTGGATTCATGAAGCTAGTCTAGGTAATAAAATTGGGTTTAAAAAAATATTAATTCTTTAATTAAAAATAATATAGGTATAAAAAATAATTTAAATGTAAAAAAAGATTACTAGAGTTCAAATAAAATTTCCCAAATTATAAATATCAACTACGTCGATTACTAATACAATGTGCGATGCCACATCTAAAATTTCTCACCAAGTTCCCACCCATCTGGCGGCGGAGTTAATTCAATGAATATAATCGCAAATTGGAAACAGTAGCAGTAACATGATTCACATGTTGGCACACCAACGCAACGCCAAAAGATAAAACAAGGTGAGAAAGGAATGCGATTCCGTTGAAAAAGTAAAGCCATAAAGACACGTCACTTTTTTTATTTTTCTTTACTAGCTTGTTTAGATCTCAATAAAATAAAAAGAATCCCACACAAATACTTGGTGCACACAAACTTTGCACCATATTGTCAAAGCAACTGCGTACACATATTATTATAATTAAAGCATTGTCGATTCTACCTGCGAACTTATAAGAAGTTGTCAATTTCTCTCATAAATTTTAATTTAGCCAAGTAGTCACCTGAACTTTCATAATTGCAAAAAGGTGTGGCCAACATATTGGTTTTTTTTTTCTTCTTCTTCTCTTCCGCTATTTTACCTGTACACTTTTTTGTTTGAATTTTAGGGTTTAGGGGATAAATTAAAATTCAAGGGGAAATTGGTCAAATTATAAAACTTCAGGAGGAATTTCAACTTAAGAGAAAATTGGTTAATTATAAAAAAAAATTAAGGGAGTAACGGGTTAAAATTTAAGTTCAAATGGTAAATTGACAACTCCTTACCTATACACTTTTTTCTTTTTCTTTGAACATATGATATTATCGACATTAAGGCGGAGGGAGTGAGTTTAGCCTCACAATGAGCTAACAATAATGTGGTTCAAATTCGCATTTGTAGAAAATTGAACCTAAAACCTCTCACTACAAGTGAAGAATATTTATTTATTTTTCCCTTTTAGATTAGCTATTTGTTTTTTTTTACTATAATACCCTTGTGTCAAAGGAAATGTTTAGGAATTTTAACGAAAAGCTTCCGGTACTGTTTACTTTAACGAAAAACACATTTTTACACTAAAAAGTTAATCCTGGTACTATTCACTTTACCCTTTATTTTGTCTTTCTCCTTAAAAGTTAAAACTCAAAGTTTTCAAGCCATTTTCATTAGATTTCTATGTTTCTATTGTGTTGTCCCTTTTTCAAGGAGCCACGTAAGGGATACAGTTATCTAGCATTACGGACATCAAGTAAGAAAAAATGGCAAGCTTGTAACAAATAGCAAAATCTATGGATATTATTGTAGATAATGTGGTTAGTGTTTTATAAGGGGGATCTAATTCAGAATTATAAAACTACTCAGGCTATGATGCAAGAATAATCTTATTTAAGCCCATCTAAAAGCCTCTTAGAGCATCATCAAAGGAGATGTCAAATTTTAAACATCAAAATGATAGTTGATAGCTTATGTGGCAATTTGACATTTTGTACAATATTTTACTCCACCTAATATGTCAAATAATAATATCATTTAATAAATTTTTTATCTTTTTTGTGGAGTCCAATGATTAAAGCAACCAATCAAATATTTCAAAAATATAACAACATTTATTATATATTATATTAATTTATTAAAATATTATTTAATAAATTTGACATCTGCTGACACACCCTAACCTAAATCAAGGCGTGCTAGCCTTCACGTAAGAGTGACGTAACCATGTGCACAGTGCGGAAGCAATACTGATATATAGAAACACAAGTGAATAAAAACAAAACTACTAAAAGTACTAGCTAAAATAAGGTGCTAGTGCGAGATTAAGTGTGAAATACACAATCATAGCATAAATAGCCTAAGTGCAGTCCAATTGGACAGGTACTAATTATACAACACCCAAAGGTGATCCTACATTTGTAATGTTCTGTCAGAACCACCGTCGAAATCCCCGTGAGCCACCAAAGCACTTCTACCTAAAACCTGGAGGGGTGCAAAACAGAAAGTGTGAGTGGGCAAAAACAAAACTTTTCAAAATCATTTCATTTATCAAAAGCGCTAACCCCTCGTCGTAAAACCTGTATAATTTCCCAGAAAAATAATATATATATGCTATATCAGAAATCATGCTCACGATGAAAATCCATAGAAATATACCATGCCAAAGTATCTCAATGAAATGCCATAAGTGTCACATCCAGGCGCGGGGCGGATCACTTCCCGAGCCCGCTCCACCACCATAGCACGATATTGTCCGCTTTGGGCTTACCATTCCCTCACGGTTTTATTTTTGGAAACTCATGAGCAACTTTCCAATGGGTCACCCATCATGAGATTGCTCTAGCCCCCTTCTCGCTTAACTTCGGAGTTCCTACGGAACCCGAAGCCAGTGAGCTTCCAAAAGGCCTCGTGCTAGGTAGGGATGGGAATATACATTTAAGGATCACTCCCCTGGGCGATGTGGGATGTCACAATCCACCCCCTTAGGGCCTGACGTCCTCGTCGGCACACACGCGGCCAGGGTTAGGCTCTGATACCAAATTGTCACATCCCGACCCTAGGCGGATCACTTCCCGGGGCCGCTCCACCACCGTAGCACGATATTGTCCTCTTTGGGCTTACCATTCCCTCACGGTTTTGTTTTTGGGAACTCACGAGCAACTTCCCAGTGGGTCACCCATCATGGGATTGCTCTAGCCTCTTTCTCGCTTAACTTCGGAGTTCCTACGGAACCCGAAGCCAGTGAGCTCCCAAAAGGCCTCGTGCTAGGTAGGGATGGGAATATATATTTAAGGATCACTCCCCTGGGCGATGTAGGATGTCACAATAAGTAATCCAGTTAAAATATATCAATGCCAGATATCATATCAGCCGGATCCACCTAACGTGGCATGCACGGCTGAGTCTATAGCTCATAACCAATCTCCATCATATCAAATCCTGCACACGAGTCGGAACCACTTAAAGTGGTCTGTACGACAAGACTAGGTGTAAAATAAATATGCTCTAGTGCTACGATCAAGTGAAGACTGTGTGAATGATCGCGGGTCGCCTACGAGTCGGAACTACCTATAATGGTCTGTACGACAAGTCTGTGCACCTAACTTGGATCCAAGGTGAGCATATGGTGTGGGAGGTGAACATCACGTGAAGGACTGTACCCTAACTCTGTGCATGAGCACTAACACCGGGGTGCAGGTTTATGAGCTCTTAATGCATCACATCATATCTCGCATAACTAAAGCAATCTCATATCTTTAATTTATAAACTTACCTAACACTTACCTATGCATTCGCAACACCAATCATAAATATATGCAACTACTAATGCATAAATAAAATAGGCAGATACTTTGCATGACATTTCAAAACGTATAATCATTCAAATTTGTTTTCTAGGAAAAATCTCAAGTATATAGGTATATAAGGAAAACCAAAAGCCCACTCACTGATATGTCAAAGGGTCGTAGCCCCCGAGCCTCGATTGATGGTGCTTGTCCTCTGGATAGGTCTCACCTATATGCGAAATAACTAAATAAACATTATTTAAAGCATATAACCAAAACTAGCTAATAACTTCTCAAACATGCTCAAATGAGGTGTTTGAATGCACCAACGTGATCTACTCAACCTCATGAACGTCCCTATATTTTTAAAATAATTTTTGGACCACCCACGTGCTGCCAAGGGCACGGCTAGACACACCCCCACGCACGGCCAACCCTGACAGAAACTTAACTGCTGTTTGGAATATTCTGTTAAAACCCTAACATAAATTAACGGCGTTACAACCCTAACATAAATTACCGGCGTTACCTGACGCCGTTAGAATATTTCGTCAACTTTGACGGAATATTGTTTTCCTTTTCCGGCTAGCCTCGTCGGTTGCCGCCGTCCGCCGCCGCTGCGATCGCCGTTTTCTGGAAAATATTCAATCTTTCATTTCTTAACCAAAATTCATGAAATTTGTCTCAAAATGAAGCTTAGAGTGAGTAGAACACATTCTTATCACTTTCAAGCCTTAAGATCCACGGCATCTCGCCGGAGAAACCTTGAACACTCCGGCAACCTCTGCAACTCGATGAACTCGAACTTCCCGACGTCTAAAACACTTCAAAATTACTCCACGAGCTTCGTGAAGACGTCCTAAAGCTTCCTAGAACCTTAAAACTTATTGAAAATTCCACGATCACAATCACATGAACATTGCTCAAAATCAGGGTTCTTGGTTTCTTGGGAAAACGAAGGCTTCACGTCCAATGAAAGGTATAGATGGGTTCCTAAGCTCACAAGGAACACGAAAGCAGGCTCTTCGATGTCGATCCGTGAAGAAATGGTCTGGTTTGAGGTTTGTCCGTACAGTTGTAAGGTCTTTCAGAAAAATCTGAGAGAATGAGAGAAATAAGGGTCAATGGGGTTGTTTGGGTGTGTGTGTGGTCCTAGTTTGGGCTACCAACCAAAACAAACAAAAGCTTAAGTCCAAAATGGGTCCAAACACTTAGGAAAGATTTTAATTGGTCCAAATCCTTAGCCCAATAGCACAGATTACCACCAACACGCTCAAGGGCAATTTAGTCATTTCACACCATCGATAAAAATAATTTGGGATGGGCTGTGACATCTGCTGTCAAATTTGATAGCAAAAGGCTTTGCCTTCAAATGACTCAGCGTCACCTAAGAAACTGAAGGCTAGTTTGGAGAGAATTTGCTGCCATTTTTTTTTACTGTTGTATGCTATGTGGCAATTTTGACATCTCCTTTGGAGATGCTCTTAGTTTTTTTACGTAAATGATTTTTAAATATCAATTAAAAATGAATGGTCTCGTTTATGACATGTAATATATTAAACTTCATTTATCACAATTAGGTAGACAATTAAGTCCCCGGCCCCCACCACATCTCAGGTTCAACTCCACCGTAGCACGATATTGTCCACTTTGAGCCCCGACCATGCCCTCACGGTTTTGTTTTTGGGAACTCACATAAGAACTTTCCAGTGGATCACCTATCTTGGGATTGCTCTCGCGTGAACTCGCTTAACTTCAGAGTTTCAATGAACTCCGAAGCTAGTGAGCTCCCAAAAGGCCTCGTGCTATATGGAGGTAGGCATGTACTTATAAGGCATAGAGGATCCTCTCCCTTGAGCGATGTGTGATATAACAATTCACCCCCCTTAAGGCCCAACGTCCTCGTTGGCACACTTCTGGCCAGGTATTGGCTCTGATACCAAATTGTCACATCTCGGCTCGAGCCCCCACCACATCCCGGACTCGATTTTGCCGTAACACAATATTGCCCGCTTTGGACCTCGACCACACCCTCACGATTTTGTTTTTGGGAACTCACACGAGAACTTCCCAATGGGTCACCCATCCTTGGATTGCTCTCGCGCGAACTCGCTTAACTTCGGAGTTCCAATGAACTCTGAAGCCAGTGAGCTCCCAAAAGGCATCGTGTTAATTAGAGGTGGGCATGTACATATAAGGCATAGAGGATCCTTTATCCTGGGTGATGTGAGATCTAACAATCCACTCCCCTTAAGGGCCCGACGTCCTTGTCGGCACACTTCCGGCCATGCTAGGCTCGGAGGCTACTACCTAGCGATGTACTTGTGAGTGGGCATTTTCATTTTATACCTATACATATTTATAGATTCCCTAAATACTTAGTTACTTCACTTTTACGCTTATATTTCCAAGTATTCATTATTGTGGTATAAATTGTGATAAATGTTGCTATATGGATGAGATATTACTGTCATGACATTCATACATATTTATACATGCTCATCTGCTGCACCCCGGTGTTAGTACTCGCCCTAGGGCCAGAGCTAGTCCTATACATGTATGTTCACATCCGCACCATTTGCTCGCCTTGGATCCAAGTTAGGTGCCAGTCCTGTCAGGTAGATTACATTAGGCAATCCGACTTATATGTGACCGTGCTTCTGCACCAACCTTCACGTGATCATAGTACTAGAGCGTATTGATTACACCCAATCTTGTTCGTGTTAGAGATTATCTATTCGAACTCATGTCAGCTTAGATGGATAAGCACTTAGTTATACTTGATTATCACATGATTATATTACTGTGTCATTTGATATATCATGACTCGACATATTTCTGGTTATAATGCTGTTGTATTATTGTTTACATACCTACGTAGTATGTTTTAAGGATATTATACTTGTTTTATGGCGAGGGGTTAGTATATTAAAAAATAAAGGTGTTCTTATAAGCATTGTTTTGCTGACCCACTCAACTTTGTTTTTCGCCCCTCCAGGACTTAGATAGCTGTACTCTTTGTGGCACTCGAGGAATCTCAGCAGTTCTGACATTATCTTCGGTTTAGACGTACGAACTTGTCACTATTGTGTAATAAGTGTACTCTAGCTACTTTGACTACTCTTTGGTCGCTGCACTGTCTATTAAGCTTTGAATAATTGTAGTAGATTATTCCCACGATTGCGCATTCTTTCACTGCTTAGTATTATTAGCTCTAATTAGTTTCAAATTTATTCACTTTTTCACATCACTTATCCTTATGGTTACGTCACCTCATGATGATGGCTAGCACACTTCGACCCTCCAAGGTCGGGGTGTGTCAAGAGAGACAAAAAAGTAGTCCACAACCTAAATACAAGCCTAACAAGAGAAAGAAAATACAAAAGAAAGGCCTAAAAAGTGCCAGCTAAAAAACAACAAAAGAAAACCCTAAAGTTGGAGAGGACCCACCAGCCACCACAAAGTCAAATGTGTCTCCATCGCAGGACCACCCCCACCAAGAGAACGAACCAACGAAACAACTGGATTAACAGAAAATGTAGGTGAGCAAGCCACCTGCGCAGTAAGCCATCATATAATCCCACTAAATAATACTAATAACACTTTAATAGCCACCCAAAACCCAAGCATGTCGCCGAGGAGGAGCACCCAGGCCGAGTAGCAGTGGTTGATGGTTGAGGATACGTAATAGAAAGTAGCATCGCCGAGGAGGAGCACCCAGGCCGAGTAGCAGCGGTTGATGGTTAATGATACGTAACAGAAAGTAGCATCAAAGCAAGAAAGTGCATGAAGGCCCAAATATGAGATAAGCTCAGAAGAATTGAGACAAAACTCAAGGAAATCCGAAACAAAAGGCCAAAAGTAAAGCAACACAAAACTAAAAAGGAAACAGAAAAGGAGAAAAAGTTGAATTTGGAAATGAAGGCTGGAAAAGGGAAAGGAAGAGAGGCTAGGATATGGTAAGAGGAGATGGAAGGGAAGTAGGAGGATTAGAAGGAAGGGGTAGCGAGCTACCTCCCGACTCCAAGCAAGAGCAAAGAGCAGTTGTTGAGAATCAGATCTAAGGTCTGTAGTATAGGAGAGGAAAGCTATAAAAAAAGCCTTCTGGTTGAGAGCATGTAACTATTATTTTGTATCAAGTGATAGATTATTAGCAGTAAGAATCTTCCTCTTCAATTTAATCTATTGTAAATAAAAAGGATTGTTACATAAATATATTAGTACACTAAATTTCATAATACAATTGGTTGATTTTTTTCGTTCAAAGGGTCCAACTGATGGTACCACACTGAAAATTTTATCTGTTAGTATATTGTATGTACAATCATTTCCCATGTATTTGCGCTCCCTGCCCAATAAGTAAACATAACCAACAAAACCAACCGACTATCCCCAAAAGTCACCCCACCTTCCCGTTTCCACCAAAACAACAAAAAACAGATAATAAATTAAAATTAATTAAAATACGAGCATTTGCCGATCCGTATTCCACATTCCAAACTCCGATCCGCTCTTCACTGATGAGCTCCGAAGCTTCCGACTCGTCCGGTGGCGGGTGTGCTTTCACGGCCGACAAGGACAAGCAGAAGGAGAAGGCCCGAGTCAGCCGCACCTCCCTCATACTCTGGCACGCCCACCACAACGATGTCGTCGCCGTCCGCAAGCTCCTCGAGGAGGATCAATCCCTCGTCCACGCCCGCGACTACGACAACCGCACTCCGCTCCACGTCGCCTCGCTCCACGGCTGGATCGACGTCGCCAAGTGCCTTATTGAGTATGGCGCCGATGTCAACGCCCAAGATCGCTGGAAGAACACTGTACTTCTTCCTAATCTTTTGTTAATTATTCAATTAATTTATTAATCAAAATAAACGCAATGCATATTGTGTGTAATTACGATTATATGTGTTAATCGGGTCTTAATTTTGTTAATGTTGATGGCAGCCTCTGGCTGATGCTGAAGGAGCTAAGAAGCATAAGATGATTGAGCTTCTGAAATCGTACGGTGGCTTGTCTTATGTAAGTCCAAACTCCATAGCTATAATTCATTTCATGGAGTGAAGTTCTTTTAAATGTTGTTTGGTTTGATTGGCTCTGATTCTCTGTCTTGAGTGTTATTGATGCTGCAGGGCCAAAATGGGAGCCATTTCGAACCGAAGCCGGTGCCGCCCCCTCAGCCCAACAAGTGTGATTGGGAGATTGAACCGTCTGAACTCGACTTCTCCAGCTCACTTACGATAGGGAAGGTCTGAATTTCTTATCATCTACAAGTTTTAGAATGGCCAAATCTTGCAATATATGTTAAAACAATATCGTTCTGCTTAAGTTTTCGGTTTGCTTTGTGATGCACTGCTATGTAAATCTTGTTGCTTGGATTTTCACGTCTGTGGATTTTAAGATGTTGCGTTGTTTCAATTGTTCCATAATGTTAATCGAGTTGTCATGCTTTATATTTTTTCCTTAACCCACTATAATCTGTAGTTACTGTTCAACATTTGCAGGCTACAAGGCGTAGGTTCCTTTGAGCCATTAAGTCGCACCCTATTTTCCCTAATGTAGTTTCTTGCTGATTTATGCCAATGATCTTTTGGATTTATTCTTTGTTTAGCTAGCTGAAGTAGTTTTGGTCTGTTCATGATTTGGTGTTATTGCACTAGTTCCTTCTGTATTTCCATAATCTCGCTGTGTTCGGCAAGATATGGCCTCACCCTGATTTGTGGTGCTTGCAGGGCTCTTTTGGCGAAATTTTAAAAGCGCATTGGCGTGGGACACCAGTTGCTGTCAAACGCATTCTTCCATCTCTTTCTGGTGATAGATTGGTGATGTAAGTTCCACCTTAACTTTTATGTGCGAGATAAAAAAATGGTTGCAACTTAAGTTACTGTGGATCTTTTTTCGTTTGAAAGAATACTTCGTTCTTTTTAATATATTTTATGAACTGTGTTTGATTGACAAATGAACAAAATTTTGGTTCGCCAAGAGGGGGCTCTTTAAACAATTTATGCATCATTCTTTCCTAGAAGTTGACAACTTTATTCAATCAATTCCATATATCAAGTTTTATGGAGCCCGGGAGGTGGGCTTCCTTAATGTAATGCTTAAAATTGAAATCACAATCAGCATATTTTCTTTACCCCACATTTCCATTATATTAAAAGGTAAATTTCTGACTTGCGCTTTGCTTTCCTGATACAGCCAAGACTTCCGGCATGAAGTTAATTTGCTAGTGAAGCTTCGTCATCCTAATATTGTCCAATTTCTTGGAGCTGTCACTGAGAAGAAGCCCCTTATGCTAATAACGGAGTATTTAAGAGGGGTATACTTCTCCATATTTGATTTATGTTTGGAATTCCGTCAGAGTTCTTGATACTGGTTTTTAAAATGTGTCTTGCAAAAGACGCTGCTTCTTAATTAATGTATCGTGTACTGTTTTAGGGTGATCTTCATCAGTACCTCAAGGAAAAGGGTGCACTTAGTCCTACAACGGCAATTAACTTTGCTTTGGATATTGCCAGGTACTTGTATAAAAACTTCAATCCACTTATTGCCTTAGTTTAAGCAACCCCTTCGGACATGAAAGAGGTTTCTCATGCAGAGATATATGGCTGATGTTGTCATCCCATTGAAGGAAAACAAGGCTATAAAATTAGTAGATTCTCCAATTTCAGTTTTCAGTACATCTGCTGTTTGGAAAATGCAGAGACTGGAATCATACTAGCACATGAAAATGTGTGCTTTTCTTAATCTAAAAAGAATGGTTACTTTTTACTATTATGAACATGTAGAAATAAGTTGTCTTTGACAATTTTGCTAATGTTTCTAAATTTCAACATGGCCAGAGGCATGGCTTATCTTCACAACGAGCCAAATGTTATAATTCACCGAGACCTAAAACCAAGGTAAGTTGATTTTTTATGCTAGAATGTCTTTAATTAATGCAATGCCCTAGATGATGTGTCTGCACAGGATGAAAGAAACTTTGGATTTGTACAATTTTACGAGTTTCCATTTCTATTTCTCTAGTCTGTTTCCATCACTGAGAAAATGTGGCTTGCTTGCAGTATTTTCTATTTGTACTTCTGAATTTTGTTTATTTATCTCAGGAATGTTCTCTTAGTCAATTCTAGTGCCGACCATTTAAAAGTTGGAGATTTTGGATTAAGCAAGCTCATCAAGGTTCAGAATTCTCATGATGTATACAAGATGACCGGCGAAACTGGAAGTTGTGAGTGTCTTCTGAAAAGTTCAATATTGAGTACGAGTTACTATTAGATAAAATAAATTATTGCAATAAAACTTGTTCTTTGTGTTTTGCCTCGGAACAAACAAAAGACCGCTATATGGCTCCTGAAGTTTTTAGGCACCGGAGATATGATAAGAAGGTTGACGTGTTCTCTTTTGCAATGATACTATACGAGGTAAAGTTGGTTTCTGCAGATATCAAATTCAGATTAACCCTTAAAGGAAAAGATGTCAAATTGTTCAATTCCAGGCCCGATTTATAACACTCTCAACTGATGCAGATGCTTGAAGGGGACCCACCACTTTCGAATTACGAGCCTTATGAAGCAGCCAAATATGTGGCGGAAGGACACAGGCCTTTGTTTCATGGAAAAGGTCACACCCCGGAACTGAAAGAGTAAGTCGATTCTGTAATTTTTCAGCCAACCAAAATGTTCCCTTCGTTCGTGTTATTCCACTTGCATCGCCCATCTTTGAATTAAATCCAAAACTACGTCCACATGTTCAACAAAATTTTGCATTTTGTATCTCTTACCTTACATCATTCCGAAAGAGTGGCATTCGGTTGCTAATTAAATTAAAGATCCTTATGCTTTTAATATATCCACTAAAACTCGAAATCCGGGTTGCTTACTTCTTTCCGTCGATTGTTTTACAGGTTAATAGAGCAGTGTTGGTCTCACGACATGAACCAGAGGCCTTCTTTCTTGGACATTCTCAAAAGGCTTGAGAAGGTAAAGGAAAAAGCTCTACAAGCAGACCATCACTGGAACATATTTAATGCATAAATTTGAAAGTATCGACGTTGCCAGGTACATAAGTGAAAGTGATCCTCTGCCACTCACTTGTAGTTCCGGATCTGCACTGGGATTGTGAATAGGCTAAACCGTGAAATCTTGCGAGAGTAATTGTTGCGACTAGCGTTCTACTACTCTGTTTCAGATTCTTATTGTGAACGGCATTTTTCCTTTCTCTTTTTTTTTTTTTTTTTTTTTCTGCATAACAGTACGTCGTCGTCTTACAAACTTGTCCAAATTAACGTATGAGAATTTTCATGTTTTGACTTGATAATCTCCTTATCTTCTTTCAACCGTAATTTGTTCTAGTCTTGAAGTGACTATGAGAAGAGATGTATATTAGCCGGGACTCCGGATTATATGTTTTCTTCTCTCTTCTTTCTGTAGGCCTAGTTTGGTGCCGATGGGATTCTGAAAAAAGTTGGTATAGAAAAAAAGCTAGGAGCTGTTTTTGTATTTGGTAAACATTCAGTTTCAGCTTTTTTTTCACAGTTTTGGGTGAAAAAAAGCCAAAAACAAAAAGCTGCAAAATCCAGTTTTGAAAAATCGGTTTTTTTCACATCTGTTTTACATAAAAGTTTACCAAACATTATAATACTGCTTTTTTTTTTTTTTTCAAAAGCACTTTCACAAAAAAGTTTACCAAACACTCTGCTGCTTTTTTTCACAATTGCTTATTTTTACAACACAGCAGAAACAACTTTTTTTCAAAGCACAACAATACCAAACCAGCCCGTAATGGTTGAAGAAAAAGTTCTCGGCTTTGAAACTGTGTCGGAACTTGGAAGAATTTGCTGATGGTGCAAAGTTGGAGATATCCGTTTCCAAGGCCAGGTATGTCTAATCTCGCGTTTCTGATCAAGATCGATTTACAGGTGTACTCACTCTCACCTGACGCGGAGGAACGGGAAATCCGGTTAACATTTTACGTAAATAGTCTTTAAAACGAAGGACAAACGAAACATAACATGTTGTAGTGAACATTTGGTTGTCCTACATCTAACAATGTGATCCGCTAATCGGTCGTATCCCAACATACAATGTTCTGCAAACTATGTTACAAAACAAGCATTGAAAGATGGAACTACAGAACTCTCCCGAAATAAATTAGATAAGCTTCTTCTTCTCGAAGAAGGTCTTGAGGTGCCACAACTGCATACCTGCGACTCCTAAGCAAACAAAAAGCGAAAGAAGACTCAACGTGGCCATCCTCGAGTTCGTTGTTCTGTTGAGGTCCTGCATCTCTTCTTCCCTGAAACAAACATTGGGCACACAAAATGTAAAATGCCGAAACGAGAAATATACTTCCACCATGAAATATTCGAACTTTCGAAGGACGGAGAACAGTTGCTTACCTTCCACGGAGATAGGACATCTCCTCGTGAATGGACGTAACCGTATCGAACAACTTCTTAAGCTCTAATTCCATTACCTGGCACGTAAGAAAAATGGCATAACAATGTTTCAATACCTCAATTTCCGTATTTTAAGTTTTAACTACCCGAACCAATCGAGATCCCCCGGATGTCGCAGTCTAGGGCAGACAGCCCGAAAAATCCGGATCGCTCATTTTAAAATCCTACAGCCCCCATTAGACCCTCCTCACACAAATCAATGGTCCGGATCCTTCTTCATACGGTCCAGATTTCTCGGTCCGTCTCCCGACTGCGAGATCCAGAGTGGATCTGAATTCGAAAACAAGCACCATCCTTTTTGGTATATTCAGAAAAGTATGAGGGAAAGCTTGTTGATTTAATACAATCAGATTTATTGACAATTGCATTAGCAGATAAGCATCAATTACTAGTAATGGTTAAACATAAATCCTTTGTATAACAATCTGTTTTAGATAAGAAGTAAACAAAATTACTACACAGTTAACAGTATTTAAGCTAAATCCATAGCAATATCGTGATTAAACAAGCTAAATTCAGCTGAAAATTGATGCAAAATTCAAAAAATAAGAAAGGGTAGGAAGATGCTTACGTCGACGGTGCCTTTCTTAGCGACATTGGACCAGTCTTTGGCGGCGACGCCGGTTTTCCAGTCGAATTCAATGGTCAACGTCGTCTGGGGCCTGTGATCCGGTGCCCAGAAGCAAGCCATGTAATCTCCCTCCTCCGCCGCCACAAACGCATACTGCCCCGATTCCACCAGCTGCGAGTAGTGATAGTTGTTCCCGTGGTGTGACGTCACCTATACATATATACAAATACAATTAAACCGATAATTATACCCAAAATAAATAAAACTTAGAAATTCATCCTTTTGGTAGAAAAAATTGAAGAAATCAAGGCGTACCCGGACGGTCAATTTGTGGGAATCGGGCATGGGCTGACCTTCGTTGGGATTGACGACGCTGTATTTTCCGACGGTCATGGCGTTGTTTTTTACATCTTCGACGATGCATTTCGTGTGACCGGATTGCAGCTCGAACCGCAGAGATTCGGATGAAGATAATAAGAACCCTGCGATTACGGCAGCAAGCAGAAGGCGCAATCCGACCATTGCTCTGACTGAGGGATGACTCGGGTGGGAAAAATGCGGCGACTCGGAGAGAAACCGAGAGGAAAGGGGGAGGGGGGTGTTCTTCGTTCTCTTCGGAGGTGAGTCAGAGAATCTGGAATCCTTCGTTTGTGTAGATTTTACGGTTGGGCCGTTTGGGCCTGCTTTGATTTAGGCCAGGCCATGTCAGCTTTTTGAACACGTGTTTGTTCGTCATTTGTTGACACACGGAAATTCCAAAGGTTGCCCTGTTGGACTTCTTGTTTTTTTTTTTAATAATTTTTGTTGTCAAATTTTTTAATAAATTTAATAGGCCGGTTTTGGAATTTAACCATGAGTGGTTTCTTTGTGTCAAGTTTCGTCTCTCTAAATCAGGTATTTTTTTTTTCTTTCGAATTATATAAATTTTGGAATGCAATACAGCAAAGAGTTTAGTGATTTCTTAAGAATTTTTTTTTTGGACATTCTTAGGATTGCAAGCAAACAACGTGGTAACTAAACGATTGATGAACTTTGTGATTGTTGAATTTTACTTTCCCGTGCTTATCTAAACTTCACGTATGTGCATCATATCGCATATGGATATAGTGCAAACTTTACTTCATGAAATTGTTGGGGTCCAAAAAGTGCACATGAAAGCCCAAGTGGATTGAAGACCCATTGTTGGGGTTCGTGAAAATAAATAGTATTTAAATAAGGTTTTACACAAATTTTAATTAATTATCATGATATGCCAAATAAGGAAATATATTATGTCATTCTGAACACATTCTTTTAAACCCAACATCTACCAAGCTCATATGACCCAAGACATGCGGATTTCACGAAGCTTGCTAAAGGGGTTGACGTGTGGAAGGTTATAGAGGTACACTAGGCCATACTCTTCAATAATGAAGTCTTTAGCCTATTTGGAAGTACCAAAGTCCAAGTCCATTCCATGGAGTGGTCTCACGCTAGGTAAGCAAACGAGATAATTTTCAACACCTTATTTTAGTTGTGCAATGTCCATAACAATAACCTAAAGAGGTATATCTTCTCTTTTCATGCGCCAAGACACATGTTTCGCATGAGCCTATTCATATTGCAACTTGTCTCACCATTTGTCCATAGGTTATTGAGAAGATTTCATTCTACTCTTTTATCCGTTGAAAATAAGTTATCACTTATCTCTACTAATTAATAAAACTCTCTTGGTCAACTAAAAGATGATGAAAAGACAACTTAGTCTTCTATCACAAAAAAAAATAAAAAAATGATGGCCAATAATGTAATTTCACAGGTCCAAATTTTACTGTTTTTTATTGAAACCTCACCTACACGTGATGTTAAAATACCTCAAACATTTAAAAACAAAAACCTCCCACTCACCCCCCACGATCTCTCTCTCTCTCTCTTTTTCTCATTTTCTAAAAAAATATGTTCATACACACAAAATGTGTAAGCAAATGTTAATATTCATAATATCAAGCCGTATAGCTGGCATCAAGACATAGTCAAATAACGGAACTCGTTCAATAGATATTTATCACTTTTCCAAAATGACGTAACTCGTTTAATAAATATTTTACGCGGAGTAAAGTGGTTAAGAAGAATGTATATGTCCGGAAATTGCCAGCTTAGCCTGCATATCCACTAGCCAGTCCGACAGTGTTAATATTGCATATCGCATTCATACGTGCTATGTCTCCATCGATCTGGAAGTGTAAGATCATTTTCAGAATCGAATGCACATATATTAAAAAATAGCAGTATCAAAGAAAATAATTATATGTGTGAGAATTATACAGAAATGCTCAGCATCTTACATCAATTTGGAATTTATTTTATAAAATTATACGTACATTACCATGATTTCACGGTTCATGACACTTTTGCCCTTTGCTTTGCTTCACACTGCTTTTTGCCCGCTTCACTCATTCAAAAAAATGGGGGTAAAGAGACCTGACGTGAGAGCGAATTGAGATGTCCAAAAATACGGTAGATAAATTATCTTATGAAATTATAGGTACAATTATTTTTGTAATAAACAATTTAATAGATAAATTATTTCACTAAAAAAGAAGTGTGTTTAAATTGAAAAATATTGTTGAGATTAAAAAAACTTTCTTAATTAATTCTTATATCATTTTCATTTTTGAGTATATCGATATTTTTATATTAAAAGATAAGAGAGTTCGGCTAAGTCAATTCCTATATCAATTAAAAGTAGATTTTATGAAGTGAGAGAAACATGAATGCACGTGATCAATTACAACCAAATTAATTACAAAACATGAAAATCATAAACTCTCATGTAACATGCAATGAATTTAGAACAGTAGTGTTTTTTTTTTTTTTTTTTTCCTACCACTTAAAATCCACATAGAATTAATTGTGCACATTGAACATGCAACTAGGGGTATTTTAGATATTTGAAAAACGTAAAATGTGTAAAGTTAATTTTTTTTTAACAAAGTGTAAAGTTAAATATAATTAATGAATTTACTTAGTGGAGTCTAATCAAATAAAAAAGTTATATCAGATTTTATACGAAGAAAATTGAGTTTTAGAGTTAAAGTCATATTTCAATCACAATTAAGACCACCCACTAGGTTTGTTTCCTCAAAATACTAAAGTGCATGAGCACTTTTGTATTTGTAATATTTGTTCCTTTAAATCTTTTATTTAGATGGATGTTATAACAGAGTTAGCTAAAAAGATCATTGTTTCATATCATAACAAATTCAAGAAACAGTACTCACATATTTTTAGTTTAGCAACTAAAATTCC